AGGCCAAGTGCAGGGTTCTGCACCTGGGGAGGAATAACCCCAGACACCAGTACAGGCTGGGGACCGAGCTTGTGGAGCGCAGCTCTGCGGAGAAAGACCTGGGTGTCATGGTGGATGACAAGTTGATCATGAGGCAGCAGTGTGCCCTCGTGGCCAAGAAGGCCAATGGGATCCTGGGCTGCATTAAGAAGAGCATCTCCAGCAGGTCGAGGGAGGTGATCCTGCCCCTCTGCTCAGCCCTGGTGAGGCCGCATCTGGAGTACTGTGTCCAGTTCTTGGCTCCACAGTACAAGAGGGATGTGGAGCTGCTGGAGAGAGTCCAGCGCAGGGCTACAAGGATGATCAGGGGCCTGGAACATCTGCCCTATGAGGAGAGACTGAGGGAGCTGGGCCTGTTCAGCCTGGAGAAGAGAAGACTGAGAGGGGATCTAATCAGTGTATACAAGTACCTCAAGGGAGGCAGTGAGGAGGATGGTGCTGGCCTCTTTTCAGTGGTGGCCACCGACAGAACTAGAGGTAATGACCACAAAGTGAAACACCAAAAGTTCCACAGGAACTTAAGGAAAAATTTCTTAACAGTGAGGGTGCCAGAGCCCTGGAACAGGCTGCCCAGAGAGGTTGTGAAGTCTCCTTCTCTGGAGATCTTCAAACCCGCTTGGACGCAGTCCTGTGCCACGTGCTCTAGGTGACCCTGCGTGTGCAGGGGGGTTGGACTAGATGATCTCTAGAGGTCCCTTCCAACCTTAAGCATTCTATGATTCTATGACTGTTTTTTGTTCACCAAGAAAATTATCTGAAAGAAAGCAGAAGTATTTTTTTTTTATGAGGAAGAAAAATGATATTATTTTGGAGTACATTTTTAATCAAGAAGCAAAGGGTATTCCCTGGAATTAGATCAAGAGGCCTACATTAATAAACTGTTTTGTTTTTCAGTTGAGTTGCCCTTAGAAATCAGATTGAAAATGTTGCAGGCATACTTGAAAACTATTACTCCTTCAGCTAAGTGCTATTACTCTGTAATCCATTTTTACCTAGGACTTGTTAATTGTCAATCCCATTATGACAAATAACCTTGAATATAATGAACAAACGGGATACAATTAATTTAATATTGTCTTGATAGATGAAATTAATGTTTGCATTATTGTTGCTTATGGATTAATACAGGAGACCTGTCATATGAGCTTTAATTTCTGGCAAATGTTTTCATTACCTTGCGTCTGGGGCACTTTTTTTTTTTTTTAATAATACTATTGGTTCAATGTCATCTTATGGCTAGAATATGCCCTTTGATGCCTAAAAAGAAACAGTTGCACAACTGCTGTGAATGCTTTTGACTCTAGTAAAGAAGAGTTACGACAGGCATGTTTTTGATCTACTAAAGGTTCAAACTCCGGTTTTGAGAAGCTGCACAATATCTCAGCTTTCTTGTGGGAGTCATCGAAAGGAGCAGGGGCTTAAGGTTTAGGACCAGAAGCCATTTTATTGAGCATCAGACCAAACCTATATATTCTCCGAGTATGTGAGCATGCACTGTCCACGCGCTGTTCACGCGCTCCCTCCCTCTGCCTCCAGCCAATTCCTTGACTCTCTTGCTATCTGGGTCCAATCCTGCTAACGGACAACAGGTAACCAACCAGAGATTGGTGCGCCCAGCCTGTGTTTTAGGTTTCTCTATCTGCTAATCTGTTATTCCTAACTTTCACAGTTTCTCACTCCTAACTTTCACTCTTCCCACAGCTTCCCACATTTCTCACGGTTTCTCAGTTTCCCACACTTTCTTACAGAAAAACTTTAAAATGTGCTTGTACTTAATCAGAAACAGGGTTAGCACCTTGCCAAAGAGTAAAACTGCACGTGTTACCTCTAGCCACCCTCAGCCAAATACTATCAAAGGTCAGCTCTTACTGTGCCATGCTTCTGAGAAGAAAACTCATAAAGGTTTTAATTTAATGCTGAGAGCATAATGTAGAGTTACACTACTTTAGATATTTAACTAATTTCCCTTCTCTGTCAATAAGCTACTGCTGCATGAGACTTGTTTTGCCTGAAGTCTACAGGGCTCTTCAGATGTTTTTTGTGGGGCATTGTTGGTAAATACATCTTTGGCCTTAAAGCTTAATGAAGAACTAAAGCTATCCTCTAAATCCTGGAGTATCTTCCGTTATTTCTCTCCTTAATGTTTTTCTTCCTATTTTTCCACCTCTGCAAGCAAAGGAAAAATGCATTGTAACAATTCAATTACAACTAAATGAAGTGAGGGCAGAGATTTGCTAAAGTAGCATAAATTTATATGTGTATTTTTTCCTCTCATTATATATAAAACCACTTTACATAAAATTAACATATTTTAACAGTACGAAGTATAAATTGCATAGTTCCAAACAGGTCAAATAATTTTTTAATGTGATTCTGCAATGACCTTCCCCATTTCTCCTCAAAAGACATCTTTATCATATCATAGCATCTTATTCATGTCACTAATGGCTTTTTTTATTTTTTTATTTTTTTATTTTCCCCTCTCCTTTCTCTTATTAATTAGGTCGGTTTTACTACCTAATACACCCAACCAAATTGACCTACGATGAAGCCGTTCAGGCTTGCTTGAAGGATGGGGCACAGATCGCCAAAGTTGGCCAGATATTTGCTGCCTGGAAACTGCTAGGATATGATCGCTGTGATGCTGGCTGGCTGGCTGATGGCAGCGTCCGCTACCCAATCTCTAGGCCAAGAAAACGCTGCAGTCCTAATGAAGCAGCAGTTCGCTTTGTAGGCTTCCCTGATAAAAAGCACAAGCTCTATGGTGTCTACTGTTTCAGAGCATACAACTGAAAATACCTAGAGTACAACAGTTTTAAATTCATTAAGAACATGTGAAAGATTTCTTTTCGATAAGAACTCATGCAAGTTACCAAAACTGTGATAAACCTTTTTTACTTACTGTAAAGAGTTGTTTTCATAAACCCAACCCATTAATTTTTTTTTGTCTTAATATTTTTTTAAAAGTATAATTCCATAGATATTTTAAATTAATATAATTTAATGTGAGCTCTAGATAAGGAAGTCTTAGAGTCAAATTCTTTAAGCTACATCATCCCAACAAAATATACTTTCCATGAATGGGGCATGCAATAGAGCTTGGTGGTTGCTAGGACTCACAGAAGGTAAGGCTACTCAAAGCAGAAACTTTTACAAGCACAAATTTTACACGTTTGTACCATTTTGAGAGGCACTGCAAATTAATTATATCTGCAGTTTTGAAATAAAATAATCTTTTGCTAATAAGTGTTCAGTGGGTTTTTCAAAACAAAATAGAAAGAAAATGTTTTCAAATGGAACAATATACAATTTAATAAAAGTGGCATTTAAAGCAGTCCACAAAAATAGGACTCATTTTACCATTTAAAAACTTACCTTTCTAAAATATATGCTCATGATCCCATTCATATCAACAAGCACAATTAGTTCTCCGGAACATTTCAATTGTGTTTTTATTGTCTATAAAAGTTGAAGAGGTTATGAATAATTAACTAATGTGTAAACTCTATTTTCTTCTCAACTCAAATTAAAGATGCCTAAGAAGTGCAGTATTACCTTTGAGTAGCTTTACTAAGTTATTTTTAAGCTCTTAAAGGCTGTTCGCTAAGCAGCATATAGCATCTACTCAGGGCAGTTGTATAAATGAACTGCTGGACAGAAAAACTGAAAACTTTAGCAGCTTGATTTTACATTAACCCTTGAAATGTTATTGTCTTAATGAAAGAACATTTCTTTCATATTTGCATATCACAAGAATAAACATTGGGAAAAAGCATTAAAATGATAAAAATCTTAAAACAAGATAATTAAATAAGAACTTGAAACCAGCTATTAATGTGCAGAGGAGAAAAAGCACTTTCTTTCCTCACTTACATATCATTTGTATCTAGAAGAATTTTATTTAGTTAAACACTTTCACAGAAAAACTATTGAAATTCTTCATTTCATTAATTCCACAATGGTCTAGGTGGAATATGTTTACCTGTATCTGCCAGTGTCAGAGATAAACATGCACTGTGCACAGTGCCTAGGATTTCCAGAGCTGCCTAAAGCACTAAGTCCTCCCTAAAGGCCAAATTGAGGGAATTTGGATTTCTGATGCAAACTTATTTTGGATGCAGCAGTTCTCAGTGCTCATCTTCAGATACCTTAATGCAATCAGAGTGGGTGCTCAAGGCTTTCTGAAAATCTATTCCACTTATGGTGTCTCAAGCTGGATATCCAAAAAATAAATAGAGGCCACTGACTAAAAACACCTTGGTCTTGAGTAATCTTCTAGGCAGTTTTAAAATTCCCTCTCCAGTATTGGTTCTACTACTTAAAAACACAGAACTTTTCCTACTCTATGCTTACTGACTTCGAAGACTTTGGAGGACCAATATTTGTATTATACAAAGTTTTATACCTTCCCATTGTTTCCATATCTAAATGAAATATAGTGGTACTATCCAAGTAGGGCACAACTAGTATGCCTACATGAATGGTTTTGTGTAGTTACTTTCCCATGAACATCGTAAATCCCTGCAAGTCCCATCGTAAAATCTCTGTGGATAAATCATGGGGAATGCATGAGAGGATCATAGTAGAAAGCTACTCTAGTAGAAGAGGTATTGCGCTGGAGTTCATGCCCATGAGCTCTGAGGCAAACTTCCATCCTGCTGAGTTGTCAATATGTACATTTGCTTATAATATACAGATGAAGCAGTCCCTGTGCCAAAATCCCCTTTTAAAAAATGACTAGGAGTCACATTTTCTTGAAAATCTTTCACTTAGTTATAAAAAAAGACATATCATAAACTCAAGCCTTCAAAATCATATAAGCTTCTCTCAGTCATTTTTTAAACCAATTTTCATTACACATGTTTTCATGGACCACTCAGAGTCTTTTCCAAACATTTTGAAGAAAAAAGGAAAAAAAAAAAAAGCAGGAGGAGGAAGAGGACTGGAGAATATTTGTACTTGAGAAGGAATGGGATATAAAAGACTGTACTGCAACCAAGAGGAATACATATTGCTTCCCCATTCAATCCTTGGAAAAAAAAAAAAGGAAAAAGTATTTCCTAGTCACCTCTGGTACATGGACAAGGAGTCAGCAATATGGAAAAAGCCATAAGGATTATCCCAAGGTGGTTGCCACCCCCTCATAGATCCCAACTTGTTGTGAAGCGGGAAGCCCTTTATGTAGCTGGCTCTCTCCTCGCCACAATCTGCCACATCTGTAGGATAATGCACCATTTTCCTATTTCACAGTGGTAGAGGGACATGCAAGGAGATTTCCCCATCCTCCTTTCAAGAAAACTTCACAGGGTTTCACCTAGACACTTCTCTTGCAGGAGGGACAACTCCGGTGTGCCAAAAGCATAGACATCTGACCCTGGCTAATGTCCCCTTGCTACTAGCCCGCAGGTGCTGCCAGAAGAGGTAAATTTGGCCACTCGTAAACCTTACAGCATGACAGAAATAGCTGATCCATGGATCATGATCCATCGGACCACTGCAATATCAGGTTTGCTCTAGTTCGGACAGGCATCCCATGATGGGCACCACCAGCCCCCCCAGGGCTGGAGCTGAGCAGGCTTCTCACTCCTCGGCCCTGAGGAAACCTCATCAGACAGGTCTTCTCACTTGGCATGGCCATGGTACAGTGCAGAATCAGGTCCCTAGAGCCATCCTGAGCTTTAACGGCATCACAAGTGGCCAAATTTGTCACTTGGTTACACCTATGAAATCACATTGAAGATATTGCTTACTCACAAACAAATGCTCCTGTGTAACAGGGTCAGGATGTGAATTTCCATTGGTCATGTTACTTATGAAAAGTTCAGAAGTCCAATCTGGGAACACAGTAGTTTTAGATCACTATATAGATATACAATATTATCTATTATTATAACAGATAAAGCTAATGGGATAGTTTGATGAAAATATGTTTATATGAAAAAAATAGCTCTAATGGAAGCAGGTTTAAAATATTAAGTGTATGATTACTTGAGAAATGGGCACAAATATACAAAAAGACATGAATTTTATTTATTTTTACAGCTACTGACTCCACTTCCTTTTATAATGTCAAAGGTCAAGAGGTTTCCTAATATGTTTATATGAAAAAAATAGCTCTAATGGAAGCAGGTTTAAAATATTAAGTGTATGATTACTTGAGAAATGGGCACGAATATACAAAAAGACATGAATTTTATTTATTTTTACAGCTACTGACTCCACTTCCTTTTATAATGTCAAAGGTCAAGAGGTTTCCTAATTTTTGAATAAGCTAGCTAGGTGCTTGGATAAAAAAAAAAAAGCCTTTAAAAGCAGCTTAAGAACTGGGAACTAGTCTGTGCTGTTATGTCTGTGAATGACAATTAAATCATGTCGTTCTTTTCAATATGATGATTTATTCTTATTGACTGACCACTCTTTTGTTTCTTTCCTGGGCTGTCCCAACAAAGGAGACATAAATCTGGGGGCAGGGGAGAATCTACTCTATGGATATGATTTACAGTAAAGAAAAACATATTCCCAAGCATTTAGTTTATGCTTCTTCAAAGCATTTTGAAAATAGTTACAAATTCCATTTTTTTATTTTGCTTTCTCTCCCATCTTCCAAAATAAAAGGGAGACTTTTTTATCTCTCCTGGTTGCTGCTACACTCTGCGCATGCATCACGAGAAATTGGATGAAGAACAACATTTAATGTTTGGAAAAAAATATGGAATTACTTTTATAATCTACGGAATTACTTTTATAATCTTATGGTCTACAGGCAAGGTGTACTTTATGGTATACCCTGTGGTCCTAGTTCCTCACAGAGCCAATAGTAGACACATGGCCTGGCAAAACTCCCTTCCTTGCCCACATTCAGGGTCTCTTTGGGAGCCAGTGCTGACAGACAGGAAATGGAGCCACGTTAGGTTGAGAGCGGAGAAGGCAGAGCCCCAGCACACTGCATGATCAGGAATGCAGTGTCCCACAAATAATCACACTAGATGCCTAGAAACATTAGGTACACGTATGTTTTCTAAACACCAACTGGTGCTATAAAGCCACTGGATCCTTACTAAGAGGTTCGACAATGACTTAGAGGTGCACTGTATCAAAATCCTAAATTACTCATTATGCCTCCAGGACAGATGTGTTCTTCCACAGCAGCATGTTCAAATTGTTCTAAAAAGAAAGTCCCTTCTCTCCCTTCATTACTTTGGATGTTTTAAGGCACTGACACCTACAAGACTGAGCTTCAGCTACCTTGACAGGTTTTTCCAGAGACGAACTCAATCTCTCTTCCAGTTTCCCAGCTAGAAATAGACTTAAAGAGGCCAAGTGTTTGGGAGACTAAGGTTGGCCTTCCCCAAGCTCATCTAAATAACTTTCACCGAATAAGAAAGTTAAAGACAAAACCTTGGGTAGAGCAGCAGTATCAAATGTAAGCTCTGAATACACATCCAACAATTATTCTGATAAAACCTGAAGGCAGTTTGCCCAGGGAGAAACACTGGCAACTCTTAATTAGATCTCCACCTTCCTCAGAGTTATACCTACCAAACAACACCCAGGTCTAGCCTACAGGGACAGCTTTACTGCTTTCTAAAGACACCAAGTATTACAGCAATGAAATTGTGGCAGATATTGACCCTGCCTGTCATCAGAAAGACGTCTAGTATGGCTTAATTTCCAGCTTGTTCTTTTCCTAAAGAAAGTCACCACTGCAAGACCACTCTACAATGGAAATACAAGAAAAAAAAATGTACTATTGATAGAAACCCCAGAAAATATTAAAAACATTACAGACTATTCCTGGGAGAAAAGCAAAAGAGCAAAGCAAAAATAAATGGAGATCCTAGTTCCATACACCTGGACTTGTGAAGCCTCAACCACTGCATGTGCAGTCCAGAATTTTCCTCACACACTGCTGATGATGAGGTAGCCTCTTCCTTACCTGTACAGCCACACACAACTCAGCCTCCCATCTGTACATAAACTTAAAAGATCTCTGCTCAAAAATACATTACCCCACTAAAGCCTCATGTGATGATAGCCCTTCCCTGGGTATATGACCCACATCAGATGCATTTCACCCCTCATGTGACCCAACATGGCCTTGCCTCACACATAGAAGAAACTGGAAAAGCTTGTTACCCCCAAATCTGCTATTTACATGCACATGATAATGGTCTCCCTTGTGACTGCACTGAGGAC